ATGTAGATGTATGGATGATGGGATGGTGGCGTAGATGGATGGATGTGAAGACAGGGATGGGAATGGGGAATGGAGAATGGATGGATGGATGGATGGATGGATGTAGTGGATTGGGACTTGGATCGGCACGGTGGAGTATGGTGAATGGCATGGCTGAATGGGATGTATGGATGAGATGTGATCGGATCGGATCGTTCTATCGGATAGATGGATAGATGGATCGATCGATCGATCTACGAATAGATAGATGAATAGATGTTAGGATAGATGGAGGGCAAAAACGGATGCATTTATGGAGAGATGAAGGGAAAGACTAACATAAATATATGGTTAGATAAATAGATCAATAGATATATAAATCGATAAATAGACGGCGAAAGAACGAGATAAATAAATACAGCCTTCGTGGGCTCGGGAGGTGAAATCTCACCCTGCTTTTGATTAACTCAGTCTACTGATCGTGAGCGCCCAGACATGATCAAGTAGCCTGTATACGATTTCTTAATAGCTAGATACATGTATTGCCACGCGTCCGTATATAATATTACAGTAATTTCACAAGCTATATAACTAATCGGTACAGCTATATATCACCTATACTGCGATCTCTGTGACTATGTGCTCAAAAGTCAGCTAACGCGAGTCTAGACTTCCGGCCCACGTGCCCTCCATCTTCATCATCCCAAACCTCTCAGAGACAGCTGCATTGGCACCCATTTGTTAGTTCTAGAGTGCGCTTTTCGCGCGTTGCAAAAAGCGCTGATAATCAATTCTGTGTATACATCCTGTTGATGAAGCGCTGATATGCGCGAGATAGAGAACAGGGATGATGATGAGGATGAAGATGAGGAGAGGGCGTGATGACAATCAGTCACTTATTACTGGCAGTCTGACAGAACGCCGGCCGAGAGAACAACAAGATGCGCTTGAAATAACCACTACGCGCACTTGTTTACACGCGCCATCCCAGAGCACTGGCAGGAGCGCGTAATGCGTTGCGTATATTCTTACAGATGTACGCAACAGGTGGTGATAAACTAGCTAGACAGAGGGCTAACCGAGCAGGAGGAGAAAGAGACGAACAGAAAGAGGAAGAGGAAGAAGAAGAAGAAGAAGAAGAAGAAGAAGAAGAAGAAGAGGAAAAGAAGGAGGGAGGAGGAAGAAGAAGATTAACAAAGTGGGAGAAGAGGAAGAAGGGGGAGGAGAAGATAAAGATGAAGGAGGAGGAGCAGAAGGGGGAGGAGGCCGAAGTGGATATAGAAGAATGAATAGGGACGTGAGAAGGGAACGCGTAGAAATAAGGTGCGGTGGAGGAAATTATGGACGAGGAGAAGGTGGGTGAGGATCGTCAAACAAGAAGGAAGAAAAAGAAGTGGCAAATCAAAATTGTTTTTAAGAATACAAAACATGATTGCTGCTTTGTTTTTAACCAAACTGGAACGTCTATCCGTCTTAATAAGACGGTCACGTGGGCAGGAGTGAACCGGGAAGCAGACAGATCTGTTTCTGTGAAGCACTCTACCTCGAAATGCGAACAAATTGAGAAAGGTGTCGCTAGCGCATACCTATCGTTAACGTACCCCCTTAGGTGCTCAGTTTATGCTAATTCATTTTAGCAGGCCAAGGATAGCTTAGGAACGCGCGGTTTTCCTTAAAGATCTCTGCCTGTGTCAGATGACAGTGAGCACATACTCACACAGAGGGCTGCACGCGCCGATGACCGTTACATTATAGGTTCAGCGTCCGTTAGAGAAGTATCGCATACACCGGATAAATAATCGTCAGAGCTGATGTGATGGCACCGCCATACACACGCTGCCCGGGCACGCACGCACACACTCACGCGCGCGTACACACGCACGCACGCACACATGTATGCACACTCATGCACACACGTTCACATCCATACACACTTATACACACGTACGTACACGCACTCACGCACTCACATATGCACACACGCGCTCACACGAACACGCTTCCGCTCATACACACGTTCATGCGCATGAGCACACGCGCACAGTTTTGGCATTTATATATATTAAGTGTCACATATGAATGAATCACCGGGTAACAAACGAATCACGTCACACACCTATCTCACTCTACGCTACGCAACCGCCAGATGCCGCCATCTACCCTCGATGATGTAATCGCCCGGCGAAAACACCACGAGAGTCCCGCGAGGATCGTCGAAATGCGACGTCAGCGCCACCCGGCGGCGAAGAGGAGCAGGAGAGAAAAGTACGCAACGTAAGAAGGCACAGTGTGTGGGGTGTCTGTGGGCACTTACAGGCATGGCTGCGACAGGCACGGGCTGGCAGCTCTCTGCTGACACTCACACGTCTCCAGGCTGGTGACCCGACGTGTCAGAGCCTCGTTCTGAAAGAGCGGCAGACGAACAACGTTATGTGTGGCGTCATGAAAAAGGGATACTGCTAGCTCGTCTATCATATATAGATATATATACTCACGTGTTACGACACAACACGCTGGCAGTGATAAATTGTATAAAACGCGTGGAGCGATTAAATGTGAAGTGGGTGTCCGGTAAATCTGGCATGCACTGCATTATGATTTATCACCGGTCGAACACTATCCCCCCGTCTTACTTAATGATGAAGTTTCGAAATCGGCACCCAAAGATGTTTAAGCAATATTACATTTAACCCCACAAATTATTATTTGATCTATATCAATTTTATCGTGTATCATTAACGCATAAAAAACATAAAAAGATTTGAAACGCAATCACCTACACGCGCAGTCTTCTCTAAAGACATTCTTTTAAGAAATGCGTTCTTGTAAAAATTTAATGTCTTGATGTGCTATTAAAAATGTCTCGCTACACACTGCGCATTGTAACATCTCTGGGATAGTGTTCTGCTCTAAGCTCTACTTTGGGATTCTCGCCATGTGTACCTGATACATTTCCAGCGCACGCTATTGCTACATACGTATACTATTATTACTTTACTATTAAACTTATTATTCATTAATAATGGGACCTATTAAAGACGTACCTTTGTCTTCAGTTTCTCCACCTCTATCCGCAGCGCTTCCATTGTATGCTGGTACTCTACAATCCTCGGGGAATGATCCAGCATACCCATCAAATCTGTTCGTTAGATTTTTAACGAATATTATTACCTAGTATAGAAATCTACATATTATACGCTCATACAAATTATCAGACATTTAATTAGTATAATGATGAATTATTATTGAATACACGACATTTCCGATTATATGCGCAGGCACCTGATATGAAGCATCTGCCTGTACATGTTTCCGTTTGTTTTTTTAAATACATTTTTTAATTAGTTTTGTGAGTTGAATAAAAATTAAAAACACACGGCAATTGTGAAATAAATTATTACTAACATTGCCACGTTTAGAAATATCATTTTCGCTTTTGTTATTTAAATATAAATTAAAAAGAAAATGTTCCATTTAAAATCATTTAATTTGAAGAATCAAATCAAAAAGCCAACCTAATTTTAACCTTCTAAGTTAATGTTTTTAAGAAGAAATAAATATAGATGATTATTATTGTTGAGGTTGCGGGGATAGTTTAGACGATTTACTCTATATACTCACCATTCTCTATAAGGCCTTTCCAGTTCTTCATGGTGAGCACGCCAGCAGGCACCTCCGCTGCCTTCTGTCTATCCGCCGCTGTCAGCTTATCCCGTGCCGCCTTCTGCGGTCCCCTCTGTCCCTTCATCTCGACATTGTTGTTTGCACGTGGAGCACCTTGGTTTTTCGACCGCGACGGTGTGTCTTGTCCTGGTTTCTCTGGTGAACAATACGGAAAACGTCAAGTCACAAGGTGATAAGGAACGTAATTCCAAGTGACTGTACTTATGCTTACTTGCTTATCTACTGTTTTATTGCAGCACGAATGTCGCCCGTCGGTGAAGATTTTCGATGTATTGTTTCTATACCGCCACACGATGAGCTCCACTATTATATCTGCAGCATTCCGACATTGAGAGATAGCTTATCTGTCTTACTCTATCCTGTCGTGGTATTCGCGACTGAATTATTCTGTTTTTTTTTCTTGCTGTCATTTCGCTATTTTGCCGAGTTTTATCGATGCGGGATTGATCTTGGGCGCCTAATAAACTACCCGTCTTGCGCGGGGCCTGTTTCCGAAATTTTCCGCATCGGCGCATCCGTGTTGTGTTTATCGATTCGAGTTATTAGTAACCCTCCCTTCCTAAAAGATTCACACACCCGCTATTGACGCAACGCAATCTTTTGTTGGCTTAACGGCAGACGACCAAGCGGCAGTAAGACGCACCTACCACGTTGGCGTCTAGCTGCTGCCCCGAGCACTCCCATTACCACCTCATTCTCAATATCTCCTTCTCCCCTTCCCGCTCACTCATTTTGTTACTCTCTACTCCTGTCGTTCACACTCTACTCGCTTCTATATCCTTTCCCATCTCCCCTTCTCTTTCTTACTATTCAGTCCGCACTTTCTCTCGTTCTTCTCTCTCTCTCTTTCTCTCTCTCTCTCTCTCTCTCTCTCTCTCTCTCTCTCTCTCT